TACCACACACTTACTATTTCTAATGCCTATAATATGTAAATATGCATTTATGGAAACAGTTTGCCACACACTTACCATTTCTAATGCCTATAATATGTAAATATGCATTTATTGAAAAAAGTTTGCCACTCACTCACCATTTTAATGCCTATAATATGTAAATATGCATTTATGGAATCAGTTAACCACACACTTACCATGTCTAATGCCTATAATATGTAAATATGCATTTATGGAAACAGTTAACCACACACTTACCATTTCTAATACCTATAATATGTAAATATACATTTATGGAATCAGTTAACCACACACTAACCATGTCTAATGCCTATAATATGTAAATATGCATTTATGGAAACAGTTAACCACACACTTACCATTTCTAATACCTGTGATACGTAGAGTTGCATTTCTAGCTGGGTTACTGTATGTGGATCATATACAGGTCTCACAATAGGGTTATATGGATACAACAAATCATGCACCAAGTGGTATCGGATAGGCTGGTCATCTCTGCTCTCTGATTGAAAATAATGACAATAGCCAAATTAGAATGTTCCCATGGTTACGTACTTTGGCATAATTATAACAAAGCCTAGTATTGTTTCCGATCAGTTCAATAGATACAGGTCAAATAATGGTGTCGTTATTTTTTAAATCGTATAAGTATTTTGTGAGATGGGTATATTAATCGTATTGGGGAGGAGGAGGTAAACCGTTTTTATTGGATGCTGCCAATATAATGTATACACTGTAAGGCACAGTGATATATCACATGATATAGGACCTAGTACGATATAATATTCAAGTTTTTGTATGTTTGATTAAAGAGGTCTATAACTTCTAGTACTCTTCGGTCGTATCGCATTTAGAACAGATTTAGTATAGATAGGGTTTATAATTATAAACCTCATGTGAATATAACCTGGTAAACCATAAATAATCGAACTGACAATCTCCATGAGCCCAGTTTCGAATGTTGTCATGGAAACTAAACATAGCTCTGTTATGCACAATTAATTTAGGTTTGTTCGTACCTTGAAACAATCTCGAAGTTTTGAGGTGTTTTTTGTTGTAGTGTAACGTCTGTTGAGAACCCCATCCATCGGAGCGTCCACTTGAATTACTTTGTAACATCGGGTACATGCCTAAGGAAACAGATGACAGCAAACATGTAAGAAAACAAGCGGTCTGTATGATTGATATGACGCTTAATTTGAAGACATGTGTTCCATTAATCAGCAAAGTGTACTAAGCACAGAATGTTGTTTCACTGCAAACAATAACAGCGTATGTTTATTGTAGACTATGCTTGACCTCCGTGTTCGTTTAATGATTGACAGAAGGGTTTGGAATGTATATAATGTCGTTACTGTGATTTGGCGTTCCTTCAAGAGACTTCCAAGATTTCATCTTCATCAAATAAACTATATTTTCGGAAATACCGTGATTGGAAGTCACTGCAAAATAATTTAAATCTCGTGTAAAGTGCGGACCGAATGATTGCCACAAAAATTTAATAATCTTATTTTGAGCTTTAATTTCTTATTTTTCATGTTCAATGTCAAAATACTGATCTTTCAGGGAGAAATATGGCATTGAGATGACCTTATTTCATCAAAACATACTATATATAATATACTATCATCAAATGTTTATAGCACATTATTGAGAAATACCAAAAATATACTTTCGTGACGCTGTTCAAGTTTGTTTGTCCTGTTTTTACGAGCCCCGCATTGAACAGAAAATCGTCTATTGCGTTTCGTTGTGAACAAATTGTATTAAATGGATACCAGGAATAAACTCTAAATCCTTAACACGACTCCTTATCCTTATCCTTAAAATCCTTATTCTATATTCGCAATAAGTCCTCTATGTAGTTTTAAAATGATTAAAAAGTTGAAAATATTAAAAATAGCGCCATCGCGGTATTTCTTAAACAATGTGAATAACTATTTCAGGAATGTGAAATAATTTTTAAA